TTCATTAGTCACATGTATGTCAACAATAGATACTTGAGAAACATTCAGTTCTCTGTCATGAAACCAGAAAAAGTAATATGTTTCATCTGCTTTTTAACAACACAGAGCACTACTTGTGGCTCTTGTATGATATAAAGGACAGATAATGTGTTAAATACTTTGTTACAACACCCTATCATTGGAACAATAAGTACCATGGATATTAACGTGGACGATTTTCAATACGGTGATATATTTCTTTATTTGTTTATCTCACAACAAAAGTAGTCAACAAGAAAAGGCATATCTACCATGCATATTATAATTAAGTTAGTGTTATTCCTATCATATAACATAATAATATCGTGTAAAAAATACGAAGAACAAGGACCCATGTTTGAAGGCAGCCTCCAGGTCTCGTGCCTAGATTGTCAGTTTACATAGACAAGGGTCCATAAAATGTATCAATTTACCCTAAATGGACGAATTTTGGGAATGTCTGAACACACAGCAAGACTGATAATGTTTCTTGATATAAACCCGTATTAAAATGTCTGTAAAGAGAGACTTGTAATTAATTTCATGAAAACATAGACAAACAGGAAAAGGATGACGTGTTTTAGTCTGTTCTAAAAGCACTTGTTTTATGATGCGCTATTATGACAATCACTTGTATAATATTTTTCTCTTAAGCAATCATTGTCAATAAAACACAATTTGCATTTAGAATATGATTACTCCTAGGTGATTACGATCCCAAATTCCCTATCACGTTGCAGTAACTATGAACTTAATCAAGCTACTATATTAGCAGCTGCTCGGAGCGTATAAAGATAATGTCACGTGATTAATAAAATGAGAATAATTCATTTCTTTATTACAACAGCCATATGTTTATTCATTTTTGATTAACTCATGCAGTAGTTTCTGTCGTCTAAGTCATGACTTAACTGACTGTCTTTCAATATACAAAACTAAATTTATTTCAAAAACACGTAAGAAAAAAGAGATAAAGGACCGTGTTATGAAACACAAACTACTCCTTCGACAATTTCAAATAAAAATATTTCGAAACTTGACACAGCACTCACTTGGATAATAAGCTGCCAAACCGGATTTAAATTATGCAATGTTCTATTTGTGACGCTGAATATATTCACACTACAAAACTAGGCCAATACTACTTGTATTTATGAAATATCACTCGAACATCAAAAGTATTTTATAATTCAACACCTTAGCTATAGCTTGGTTTTTAACTTCAAATGGCTCGTAAAAGCACTTTCAGTAACTATTATGCTTGTTTGTTTGTTGAGCCCAAAGATACACAATAGGCTATATTTGTTACACCAAGTGAGGGTATCGAAACCCGATGTTTAGCGGTATAAACTCTCAGACTTACCGCTTAACCATTGGGGGTGGAAGCAACTTTTATGTATATGTCATTTAAGTGGGTATGTTGACATAATTACGGTTTAGATCTCTTGACCAAATCATGCCTTAATAAGATCGAGTATTCAGCAAGAATGTGTGAAAAAAAATCATTTGATATGGCAAAGTGGAGTAATAAAATATGCAGGCATATCATGCGTTTTCTACCTTCTTATGGTAATTTACAATTTTTCAAAATTTTCATTTAGTATGATTTTGCGCAGTTTTCGCATAAACGCGTGGTCCAGAAAACAGTTAATATCTTTCTAGTTACCTTTGCTGTTCTGTAACAGATAACAACACCTGCTCTATTTGCGGAGATATTGCAGCAATGTTGCACATTATGCAAGCAAATCAATGATTGCAGATGTCCTTCACTGGCTGATTAGATATCTAGATGATACAGCCATAACCTTGTGATATGAGAACGATCAGTCACGTGGCTAACGCTAGTCGTTATGGACAAATTCAACGTTTCCTGTCAAATAAGGAGCATAATAATTACACAGTTCTACTTGGATTTCAAAGTACTAATACCTGTTCAAAAGATATTTCTAGAAACTAGAACTGCAGACTGATAAAAATAAATTAAAGTCCAGTGTCTTGACGCAAGTACGTACACTATGTTTGTGCTTTTAGACATAAATAAATATTGTTTTACACTTTAAATCATATGTTTAGTTCGTTTATTCTCTTATCTTAAACTCGGTCGTTTAGTCAACTTCAGATTTACTGCACGAACCTCCCGTTTTAAAGATGACGTACCTAATGCTCTGTAAGGAAACCAGTTAATTTGATAATACCACAAAAACAAGACACAAGTATACAATAAACATAGACATCTTTGTTGAACAAAAAGGGAAAAGCAAATAAAAACAAAATGGTATTTAGAATATAACTACTGACTGAGGGGAGAGTAACTAGTCAGTAAGCACTAAACTTAAAGTGAAATATTATTAGTACCTGTTCGACTAGCGGATGAAAATCGTAAATGTTACAAAACTCACGTATTTGCTGATTAGGATTCGAGTTCTCTTTCTGTATTTACATCTTCGTTGAGCAAATACAAACAATACGTTTAGTTGCTCTACTTTTATCTTGTCGAATCCATAATAACTTGTTGTAGCTTGTTATATGACCACATAAAACCGCTTCCAATACAATATATTATATTAAAGGTTTTCAGCAAAAGTACAGGTTAATTTATTT